ACTAGATGATCTTTGGAGGTCCCTTCCAACTGCTCAAATTCTGTGATCTAAGTCTACCCTCTTTTTGTCTAAAACCATTACCTCTTACCTTATCACAGTGGGCCTTACTAAAACATTTATCCTCATCTTTCTTATAAGCCCCCTTCAGGTACTGGAAGGCCGCTGTAAGATCTCCCCAGAGCCTTCTTCCCCAGGCTGAACAGCCCCAGCTCTCTCAGCCCGCCCTCATAGGAGAGGTGCTCCAGCCCTTTGATTATATTTGTGGCCTCCTCTGGACCCACTCCAACAGGTCCACGTCCTTCTTGTATTGAGGCCCCCGAAGCTGAATGCAGTGCTCCAGGTGGGGTCTCACCAGAGCCAAGTAGAGTGGCAGAATCCCCTCCCTTGACCTGCTGGCCGCACTTGTGATACAGCTCAGGATATGGTTGGCTTTCTGGTCTGTGAGTGCACATTGCCAGCTCATGTCCAGCGTTTCATCCACCAATACCCATTCGGTCCCCATGTGTTGCCTGATCTAGTTGAGAGGCGTCCCTGCCCATGAGAGGGAGGTTGGATTAAATGATCTCTAAGGTCCATTCCAGCCTAGGCCATTCTATGATATTTTCTTTTAATACCTTCAAGTCCTTCTCTGCAGGGCTGCTCTCAATCCCTTCATCCCCCAGCCTGTATTGATACCGGGAACTGCCCCAACTCAGCTGTATTTGGCCTTGTTGAACCTGACAAGGTTCATGAACTTCATGAGGATCCCTGCAGTTATTCCCTGGAAGTATGTCAATGTGTGGAGGCAGTGCTGCATCCATACTGTGAAGGAGGCCAGCTGTGCTTTCAGATGTATGAGCAAGCAGGTAGCTAGCACTTTGAGAATGACATTTATTCCTTTCTGGTCAGCACCTGTGAGACTGTCTGGTGTACCGAGTCCAGTCCTGGGCTCTCCTGGAGCATCCGTGTTTTAGAGCAGGACCTCCAAGGTGGTCTGGGGCTGGAGCATGTGGTGTGTGAGGAGAGGCTGAGAGCTGAATATCTTGAGCCTTAAGAGTAGGAGACAACTGTGTATCACTGTTTGCAGGCAGAGGGAGGGAAAGTGGAGCCAGACTCCTCTTGGAAATGCATAACAAAAGGGCAAGGGACACCTCCTTTTTTGCCGTGAGGATGGCCGAACACAGAATTAGGCCCAGAGAGGTTGTGGGCCAAATTCTAGACGCTGAGTAATTTAATAGAGTAGATTTTTAATTTATTAGACTAGATGTTACATCTCCTTGAATACAGGCAGAGTATCTCCCTTTGTTCGCCAGCTGCCTTTGTGCACTGTGCAAAGCTAGGGCTTTAGAGGAAGTGTTCTGTGTTCTGCTGAATGCTGACTGCCCCAAATGTCTGTTTCAGAGTTTCAGAGAAAACGTGCACATCTGAAACACATTTGGTGGGTACAGAAACAAGCAGAGGGACGTGTACACGTGACCCTGTACCACACACATTATTTATGTCTGCACAAAACCGCGCAGGCATGGGCTCACGTAAGTCTTTGGGTTTGCTGTGATGAGGAAAACACAGCAAGGTGGAGCAACTCACCATCATGCCTCAGGTTGGATAAAACAGCTCCTTCAGGTCTCTTCAGATGAGAGGGGTCTGAGTGCATGTTTTGAAGTTCTAGGTGCCAGGTGCTGGTGAGTCGTTAGATTGTTTCCTGCCTCTACTTTAAAGAACGCTCATCTGTTGGGTTTTCTTTTTTTGTCTCCTCACAGCTTGAAAGTTAAATTATACTGCTCACCGGTAACTAAGGAATTGCTGTTGACTAACTGGAAATACAAGTTTTGGGAGAACCACATTGTGAGTTTTTGTTTATTTTTAAACTAACATTTCCCAAGCAGTGATTCTAGGAAAGAGAAAACTTTCCCTCTTCAGAAATGTGTAAATGTTGATGTTTGTAGAGTGTTTCAGGGCTTAAGTACTTTTATCAGTGTGCCTTTCCTTACTGCTTGCTATGTGGGATTGGTTTATTGTTGTTTATGGTTTAATCTTATTTTTCTCTCCACAAAATACATCCTTTTCTGGCAGCTTGAAAATGTTTCTTGTCACCTCTTGCTGTGTGTACATAGTGTAAGGATTTTGCTTTATCCCCCAAGCAAGGACAGGTCTAGTCAAGTAGAATGTCAAGAAGGACCTCAGGGAAGCTGAAACTTGTTTTCTTGGGGGGGTTATGGCATGGAGTGTCCTTAAATAGGTTGTAAATGTGGGTCTTAAGCTCCATACCAAAGAAACTCAGATGAGTGGGACCTAGGATGTAAGTATGGGTAAGACAAAAAAAGAGAAGTAGGGGATTTGTCTGTTCAAGGTCCTAGTTTAATTGTGAAGTGGTGGTTGAAAGTAGCAAGCTTTATATGAAGCCTTGAGAAACTGAAAGATTTAACAGTTTGGGGAGCGAACGTGATTCAGGGCTCTGTAAGAAGGACTCTGAGCATCCACTAGACATGTTTGATGTACGAAGGAGCACAGTATGCCTAGGCGACAATTTTTCTAAGCCTGTAATCTTCCTGGGCTATCAAAAATAAAGCAGGGTGGGGTTTTGGTAGCTTTTTTTTTGGTTGGTGTTGGTATTTTCTTTATTTTTGGTTTTAAGCTGGTGTCTGTGTGCTTCCCTTAAGTTTAGCCTAGAAGGAGTCTTTTGAGGAGAGATAGCTGTAAGCTGTTAGGAGTTTGTGTGGGCAGCAAAAGGAAGGTCGGCGATTCTGGTCCTTGCATCCCTGTTTGAGAAAATCTTAATCTGGGAAGAGATGCCGGAGGAACCCATGGTGCAGTCTAAGATGAAGCACCATTAACACAAATCAGCACGATTAAAAAAATACATAGATGTTTGCAGCTGCTGCTCCCAGGCATGAGCTGCACAGGACCTAAATCAGACAGTAGCCCTTGGATGTCTTGTTCACAAGCTTTGTTTTACAACAAACTTTCTGCTTGTAGTGTGACTGGAGACTGAATTAACAGTTGATTTGATATTCACTAGACTGAAAGAAGCAATCCATATCAGCTTCCAGACAAATGGTTTTTTATTATTTCCAGTCTGACCTTTATTTATAGGTATGGCTTAAGAGGCTTTTTGAATCTGCTGCTGGCTGTAACATTTAAACTATTAAAGACGAGGGCAGAACTCTGCTGGAGATGTGATCATTTACGCTTATGAGGCGAAATGGCTGTCAGTGAAGAATTCTCCAGGCAGTTTAGATCTAAAACTTGACAATTGTTTAACTGCAGTAGGAAATTTGAGAACTACTGAGAAATATTGAGCATGCAGAATTTAGATCACCCTTTGAGTTTATTCAGCTTCGGAGATTGTAGATGATAAAATCGGTATTGATGCCTAAAAAGTCAGCTCTTGCTAGTGTGTTAAATTCTTAGTATGAAATACTTTTTGACAGATGTATCTGTTTTGGAGCAAGGCCTGGGTTTGATGGGTGTTGTGGTTTCTGGTGGAGAAGCCAAATACTACCACTTTTGTGTCTGTACCAGCTGAATGGATCTCTTGGAGCTGCCCAGAAATTTGCAACACAGTATCGTGTGAATCCATCTCGGTGAAAGCCAAAGTGCTGAGGAGTGCTCAGCTGAGAAGCTGGAGGTCATACCTAAGGAGAGTGATGACAGGAGACTTTCACTTTGTTTTTTTGGGTAGGAGAATTATATACAAATACTGTCTGAAACAAAGGAAAAAGAAAAGGGTAGGATGGGAGAGGAGCCTGCATACAGTGCTAACCTCGTGGATGGCCCAGAGCATGTGTGTTACAAGACTTTTTAGTAGAGGATATGACAAAACAGGGTATTAATTATTATTATTAAAAAGTCTATGGATTAATCACCAGACATACATGCTGCATGTGATTTGTGGGCTCTGCTTCTGGTAATGGGGTGCGGTGGGAAGTGTTGCAACACATAGATGTGTCCTAGCAAGATCCACTGGTGTACTCTGGGCCTGGGGTGTCTTGGGCTTTGCCGTTATCCAAAAATAAGGTGTATGATCCAGCTGGAGAAGGTAGAGCTGCTGCTGTTAGAAATCCAACATGATCTAACTTCTTAAGGCATGCACACCTTGATTGAGGTAACTTGCATTTTTTAGGCAAGTTTCAGGAAACTTTTTTCCCCTCCATTGGAAATTAAAATTTATGATTTACTATGAGAAACTGAGCCCAATTTTCCAGGCTTAATATTAGCCGCAGTGGGTGCTGAAGATGTCTATGTAATGAATACTTAGCCATAAGCAGGAAACGGAGTGTTCAGTATATCCTGTGATGCACGTACTCATTTTATTACAGGTTGCATTGGAAGTTGAAACTCCAACTCAGATTTCTTTAGTAGATGAAATATCTGGTGAGGTAAGTTACACAAGAAAAAGATTCATATATTCGTAATGGGTAGTAATACTGTTGAAATGAGCATGGGAAACATATCTTACCTGTAACATCCCAAGGGGACAAGTTTGGGGTTTTTTTAAAAATATATGCTCCCCTTCTCTCCAAGATGTGCACCAACCTGAATTCTTCTTCCCTGCTTTACTCTTACTATCATAACATTTTTTGGTAATGTCTCTCCAGGGTCTTAGCAATCTTCAACTTACTTATTGCTCTTGTGATACTTTTTTTTTTTCATTTTGTATTTATATTCACTTAGTACTTCACTGGCTTATTTTAACAAGGTTTAGGTGCAGATCTTAAAGGTCTGATAGAGCATCTCCAGACAAAGTGTGTCCCAAGACATTTCCTTGATGCTGGTGGATGCTTGATGAGTGAAAAGCTGGACAGGAGCCAGCAATGTCTGCTTGCCAGTTGCATCGTAGGCTGCATCAAAAGCAATGTGGCCAGCAGGTCAAGGGAGGTGATTCTGCCCCTCTGCCCTGCTCTGGTGAGACCCCACCAGCAGTATTGCATTCAGCTCTGGGGGCCCCAGCACAAGAAGAACATGGACCTGTTGGAGTGGGTCCAGAGGAGGCCACAAATATAATCAAAGGGCTGGAGCACCTCCCCTATGAGGACAGGCTGAGGGAGTTGGGGTTGTTCAGCCTGGAGAAGAGAAGGCTCTGGGGAGACTTCAGAACGGCCTTTCTGAACAGCCTCCCCTAAAGGGGGCTTAGAAGAAAGGTAGAGGAAAATCTTTTCAGCAGGGCCTATTGTGGTAGGACAAGAGGTAGTGGTTTTAAACTAAAAGAGAGTAGATTTAGACTAGATAGAAGGAGAAGAATGTTTACAGTGAAGGCAGTGAAATACTGGAACAGGTTGCCCAGATGTAGTAGATGCCCCATCTCCAGAAACATTCAAGGTCAAATTGGATGAGATTTTGAGCAACTTGGTCTAGTTAAAGGTGTTCCTGCTCATTGTGAGGGGCTTGGAACTACGTTATCTTTAAAGGTCCCTTCCATCCCAAAACATTCTCTGATTCTGTGCTTGTTCAACAGGAACCAAGGAAGTAGAACTGCCTTCTGGCTGCCTTGGTTTTATGAGCACCATATAATATTCAGTCATCTCTCCTGGCACAAGAGGATGGTTGTTGCTCTTCAGGGCTTGTTGGAATGTGAAGAGACTCTCTCTTCATTCAGAAGCAATGCTAAGTGCTGCAAGAGGCAGTGGGGAGTGATACATTACTCTCACTATGTCAGTGAAAGTATTGGTAGTACTTGTTACAGTCTGAAAATAATGCTAACCCACCTCTTCCAGAAAGAAGATCTAGAGGTGACACTTCTACCAGCTGGTCACTGTCCAGGATCAGTCATGTACGTCCCTTCAATACTCTAAATGTCTTTGCTGAGAAATTTGTCATATAGAGTTCTTGCTAAGTACTGGATTTTTTCCTAACTAGAAAAAGCTAGGAATTTTAAATTCACTACTTGGAGACAATATTGTTCTGGCAGGGCCCACCAGCTGGAAAACTGCTGCACTATCTGGGATCTGTCCAGACAGAAACTGTTACCCTGGTGGAATAGTTGACTTTATCCTATGCCTATGAGTAGCAACTTTCTTAATTTCAACTGTACTTACAATTACATACAAAACTGTGATTCAAAAATAATTCCTCTGTTTCTTAAGGATGACATTAAAAAGCAGGTGCCCGCCTTCCTGGTACAGGTGCTGCAACAGACAACTGGGCTACCCTCCCCAGAGGCTGTGGGCCTTCTGTTTTCAACTCTGACCAGCCTAGGCACAGCTTTTTCTCCAGACATACTGATTCTAGTTATTTGGCTTATCTGAAATTACTCTAGGACCAAACTGAGCCCGGTATTTCGGTGAAATCATACCTTAGACTGCTCCAAGCCAGGTAACAAATCAACACCTGGCATTTAATGCTTTCTGTTGTTGAGTTTGACCAAATTGTTTCTGTTTGTAGGTTTTTGTTTGAAGGTGAAAATGGCACCGTGCTGTATACAGGGGATTTTAGGCTTGCAAAAGGGGAAGCAGCCAGAATGGAACTTTTGCATTCAGGATCCAGGTGAGACTACAGCTATTCATGGGATTTAGAAAGAATAAAAGATACCAGAGGCATGGATGGCTCGGGAATAATGTGTTGGGTTTTTTCGCCTCATTTTTCTGGATTAAATATATCTGCAGTCAGGCAATACTGTAGTTACAAGCCTCTTTTGACTTCCTCTTTGTAATAAAGAGGAAGAATTGCCTCCTTCTGAAGAGAGAGGAAGTGGTGTATGTTAGTGCTGCGATGCACTGCTCACTCTGATACAACATTTCTCTCTTTCAGAGTAAAAGACATCCAGAGTGTGTATTTGGACACCACTTTTTGCGATCCCAGATTTTATCATATACCAAGCAGGGTAAGTCTAAATCACCTGTGAGGAAAGGTCCTTAAAGCTCCTAATTAATTAATCAATCACCCTTTTGTTAGGTAAGTCTTGCAGGACAGTGCTATTTTGCATCACTAAATCACAGCGCTTTGGAAGTATCTTTCAAAGTCGATTCACAACATTTTCTAAACCTTTCAGGAAGAATGTTTAAATGGGATCTTAGAGTTAGTGCGAAGCTGGACCTCACTGAGTAACTATCATGTTGTGTGGCTGAACTGCAAAGCTGCTTATGGATATGAATATTTATTCATAAACCTCAGTGAAGAACTTGGAATCAAGGTAAGGCTTCTGTAACTGTTGCTTTAGAATAGGTCCTAAGGAATGATGGTGGCCGGTCATCGAGCTGGATGTGGCTGCTCAGAGAACTGCTGCGTGTGAAAGATGTGCCTGCTTTCATTAACTCACTTAAGAAAACTACAGCTGTGCTCAAAATGAGTTAAGTAGTTGATTTCAGTCTGGATCATCTGGGCTCTCTAGGGAGAAGTTAATCCCCAGTTTTCAAGCTCAGTGTTTACTTCGTTTTATCCTGTGAATGATAAGAGCCTTCTTGTGTATGTGTGACATTAAGTTAGCAGATGTAATCTGACTTTGATGAATATTTATCCCTCTTCAGCATAGGAGGTATGTTCTGCTTGTTCTAAGATACTTTTGGCCAACACTTCTCTGGTTGGACATTATTAGTGAGTAGTAATTGTTTAACTGAACGTGAGCCAGCAGTGTGCCCAGGTAGTCGACAAGGTCAGCAGCATCCTGGCCTGTATCAGAAATAGTGTGGCCAGCAGGACATGAGAAGTGATAGTGCCCCTGTACTGAGCACTGGCGAGGCCACAGCTCGAGCACTGGGTTCAGTCTTGGACACCGCAGCACAAGAAAGACATTGAGGTGTGGGAGCAGATCCAGAAAAGGGCAACAAAGCTGATGAAGGGTCTGGAGAGAAGTCTTATGAGAAGTGACTGAGGGAACTGGGGTTGTTGAGTCTGGAGGAGGCTGAGGGGAGACCTTGTGCTTCTCAACAACTGCCTGAAAGATTGTAGCAAGGTGGACACTGGTCTGTTCAAACAAGTAATGAGCAGTGGGACAAGAGCAGATGGGATTGAGTTGTGCCAAGGGAGGTTTAGATTGGATATTAAGAAAAAATTCGTTACTGAAAGAGCGATGAGGCACTGGAACAGGCTGCCCAGGGAAGTGGTGGAGTTGCCATACCTGGAGGTGTTAAAAAAATGTGTAGATCAGGCACTTTGGGACATGGTTTAGTGGTCATGGTGGTGTTGGGTAGACAGCTGGACTTGATTATCTTAGACGTTTTTTCAACCTTAATAATTCCATGATTCTATGAAATGCCTACTGACATTTGTTAAGAGCAGAACCACATCTGTGCAGCTGCTCCAGCTGCAGTCTGGTGAACGCACTGAGCTAATTAAGAGTACACTCTGCCTTTCTCTAGGTGCACGTGAACAAACTTGACATGTTCAGAAACATGCCAGAAATCCTCTACCACATTACTACAGATCGACACACTCAGATTCATGCCTGTCGACATCCTCGGGTGTGTATCGCTTTGCAGAGCCTCTGACTTTGCCCTGAAAAACTGGGGATAGGTGCTAATATTTTGCTCCTATGGAGTTAATGAAGACTTGGGCCAAGTGGTGGCTTGAAGTAAAGACGAGTGGGAACTTCAGTTAGTGAATTGAAGTTTTTTGCGGGGGGAGAAAAATGTCAGGATTACACTTAATTTTGTATTTCATGTGACAGGATGAGGAGTGCTTTCGATGGAACAGGCTGCCCTGTGGGATGACTTGCCGGGATGGAACCCCCTTGCACATAATCAGCATCAAACCCTCCACTATGTGGTTTGGGGAAAGGATCAAGAAAACGAATGTAATAGTGAGGTGAGTATTTGGGTCACGCAGGAACCTGTTGTTTTGGGTGCGTATCTCACCTGACGCTTGTATAACTGAATCTCAAACTGGATGTTTTAAGAGCAGATTATGCTTACCTGTTGACTGAGGATGAAGAGCAGTTACCTACTTTTTGTGCTTTTGCTTTTTTTTTTTTTTTTTTTTTTTTTTTAGGACTGGGGAGAGTACATACAGAGCTTGCTTCTCTTTCCACTCTTCATACAGCGAGGTTTGTATACTTATCATACTGAGATGCATTGATTAAAAAAAAATTTTCAGTGGGCTTTGCTTATTTTGGAGTGGATGATGTGACTTGTCATAATAAAAAATCTTTTCAGTAATAAGAGCATAGAAAGTTCTGGATGCTGAAAACAAAGATGTTTATTTTAATATAGCTGTAGAAGAGCACATTAAGGTAGAGTAGGATTACAAACCTATTTTTTTTCCTCGCTTCTCAAAGTATAGGTCACTGGTACAATAGGTTTGACTGCCTTCCTATTTTAGATTTTTGTTTAACTACGCAACATTTAAAGCTTGGCGTTTTGGTTTTCAATACATTGTTTACCTGCTCTGACTCAGGTTTTGAGGGGATTTGCCTTCTTTTCCATGCCTGCACGTTTAAACAGAATTTTCTCACATCGTAGCTGCTGCTGTTACTCCTCTTTCTGTGTTAAAGGCTAAAAAGGAAGTTAGTAATGGCAGTAATCCATGCTCTAGGATCACAGTTTCATTTAGTGACTTGATCCAGTTCTTAAAATACTTCCCTCTCCTAAGAAACTGAACTGAAACTGGATCAGTGCTAACAACCTGTCACAAAGCCTTGCACATACAAAATGGAAATTATTTAGAGCCCTTGGAAGACTGTCCTGGTTTTTAGACCTTGGTTAAGTTTTAATTAGCTCTGCCATGTAGAATTTTAAATGGAGGTACTGGCATAGTACATACAACTTGGCAGCTTTGCTGGCAGAGTGTGGGGGTAACAGACTTACACCTCCACATGCAAAAATAGATGGGTCCTGCTGGTCTATATAGATAGGAGGGTGATCTGAAAGCTTGCAGGTGTTTTCAGTGCTTGGCACTGATAAAGCCTCAGCTGGAGTGCCCCAAACCAGATACAATTCTTCAAGAAATTTTCTGTCTGGAGAACATCTAGAAGACAACAGAGTAAGGCTTAGAAAAAATGACGTGCTTTGTTGTGATAGGCTTCTCTAGGGGACTGAAGGGAGACTTTAGGAGAAATCTTGGAGGAAGGGAATACCTCATCTGTACAACTAAGGACTTGAACTCCAATAAGAGAAATGCAGGTCTGAAAAGATCTACAGCATTCTGGACAGAGAAGCGCTGGATCACATTCCCTAGGAGCAGGCCTGTGCAGCCTTTTCTGGCAGAGATCACGGTGGCCCCAGCAGTAGTTGGTAATTGCTGTGAGGTGCTCACGTGAGGCCAAGTTCTCAGCATCCTTTCAGACTCTGGGCATCCTTTGAGGCCTGTTTTCTCCTTATGCAGCTGTTCACTGCGATGGAGCTGGCTCGTGGATCTCTTGGTCTTCACGCGAAACAACTGGTAGCACTTTTTTGTGGGTGTGCTTTGATCCATGCTGCCGTTGGGTGAAATTCTGACTGTAGGTGTAACTTGTTCAACTGCTTCTTCTTTTCTTCATTTTAGATTAAGGATTTCCTCAGCTATATCCGTCCTGTGAATGTGTATCCCAATGTACTGCCAGCGGGTGGGACAGAAGACAAAGTTATGGAAATGTAAGTGATGAGTGGCTGCTGAAGGGAGATGAACTAATCCCTGTTCCTGTAGGGACAGCTCACCTCTTGTGAGGCCACTGCCTCTTGCTTTACTTGTCTGGTAGTTCACATTATTTATTTTTATTCTATATTCAGTCCTGTAAATTTGAGCTTTCTGAAGAACACTTGTATGTTGTGCTGAGTCTGAGAGTTTGTATTTCACACACAACTTATATCTATGTACAGAGGCTTTTCTGCTGTTGAACTCTGGGTGATATCTGAATACCTGTTCATCTTGCTTTATTCTGTGGCCTATTTCTATTTGTTGTTGCTGCTTCTCAGAAGCTTTTAAGGAGGGGTTTGCTGAGGACTTGAACTCCTACCCTCTGTACAGCATCACAGAGGCCTGTTCCTTTGTGCTGCTACAGATGCTGACAGCTTAGAAAGCTCTTAGGCAGCAGAAGAGCAGTGGTGTCAGTCTGAGCAAAATGAGGAGTCATTTATTTTTTCCCTTTTCTCCTTTAATAAAAAAGGAGATACTTTACAGTTGTTGAATTAAACTGTGGTCAGATTCTGAAGCTTGTCATCTTGTCTTCTCTAAGCAAAGGACTAAAAGATAGTTTCCAAATGGGGTACATGTTTTAAAGTAAAATACAGTAACGACAGATTTCTCCATTTAAGCTGCTTAAGCTCTCCGATGAATTAAGAACTTCCCTAGCTACTGCTGCCCCTAACACTTTTGCTGCACTGCCTGTGAAAGGCGTGAAGCAGTGTACGCAGATCAATTTGAAAGACTTTTGCTCCTGAAAGTATTTGTCGAGTTGTAAATATTAATCACTTCTCTCTCGGTTAGATTAAAGCCATTATGCAGGTCATACAGGAGAAACATGGAACCCAGGTACAAGCCTTTGGGAACACTGAAGAGAGTCCCCAAGAGAGACTTGTCTGATACAGGTAAAGGTTCTGCTGGTGCTGCTGTGCCTTAAATGAAAGTCTGAGACTAAGCAGAGGTGGCAAAACCCGTGGTGTTCACCATCATCTGTCTGCGTTCAAAGCAACAAAGGAGGCACGTAAATGAAGTGACTTTGGGTTTTGGGTTTTAGGAGTGTGAGAGAGCAATAATTACAGAATCACAGAATCACAGAATGTTCGGGGTTGGAAGGGACCTCTGAAGATCATCTAGTCCAACCTTCATCCCAGCATACCCAACCACTACACCATAGCCTCAAGTGCTAGATCTACTTTTTTTTTAAACACCTCCAGGGTTGGTGACTCCACCACCTCCCTGGGCAGCCTGTTCCAGTGCCTCACCACTCGTTCAGTAAAGAACTTCCTCCGAATATCCAATCTAAACTTACCCTGCTTCAACTTGTAAAAAGTGCACTTGTTTGCAGTTTTTAAGCGGAGTTAATGCTCAGTGGTCCTTTAAGTTTCTGGAAGAGTTCTATCCCACAGTCCTAGGCTATCCCTAGTAAAGGTTTTTTTCTCACTTTACTTGTCTCACCTTCTTTGCTGTGGAGGACAGAGTGGTAAATCAGTGGAATTGCTCCTTTATTATGTGACGCTGCAGGGTTTTTAGCACCTAGTAGCTTTTTTAACTTACCAACGGTAAACAGATGCTGTAAATAGTCTCTGGAAAGCCTCTTGGGAACTAAAGAACAACTTTGGGCCTGCTGCATTCTCTTGAGCTATTTCTGAAGTGCCAAGTGTGCAAGGGTGAGGTAGTCCTGGTGAAATGTGTCAGAGGCTCCAAGAAACTTTTCTGCCGGGGCTACGTTTGATCTGCTGCAGCTTCTGTGGAGGATGGCAGCTGGCAGCTTTCCTTGTGTAAGGCACTGTGCTAGGCAAGGCAAGGTAAACACCCTCAACAATGTCCTGCCAAGTCTCCATCTGTTTTAAAAAAAA